GGCCGGGCCCCACGGGCCAAGGCCCGGCCACCAGGCGCTCGCCAACGGGCCCCTCCCCCAGGCCTGGCTCCAGGGTGGGGCCCCGGTGACCCTAGTCCGGGCGAGGGAAACGGGACTTTGATTGGTAACTTTTTCATAGGGTTCTTTTATTGACATTATTGACATTGACTTTTATTCTATTTATTATTGACATAATAAATTATATAAAATGAACAACGATCTGCCATATTTATAAGCTAACAATGATGTTCCACATAAAGAAACTAAAGTGTTATGTTAATCAAGTAAATCCCTATTTGAACACGGATTTATTTGTACGGAGGTATGGAGATTGGATGCCCACTTGTGTGTGGGGTGTTTGCATCTTCTCGCTAAGGGGCGCCGTTTTTCTAGTGTAGTGGGAAAACATACAGTTAGGCTAATTGGAGTCAAAATTGTTCATGGCTTGTTATTTTGTGAGCATATTCCGATTATTAATTACTGGTATTCTTTCCAGGGTGTGCCTTATACTGCCTGAGTAGCTCTCTGCGAGTCAACACAGGATGAGGAGTTGGAAGATGGATGGGTGTAAGCATGTTGTTATTGTTGTAGTCAACAACTACATTACCCAGAAATCAGCGGGGTTAAGCTGTCCCTCGGCACCTATCAGATCCTTTGCCCAGATCAACGCGGAGGATTGTTTGTTTCAGTGTGATGGGCGGGTTTCTCTCTTAATGTCATGTCCATCCACCGCGGCATTTGCGGGAGAAATATTTCAGCTTGGAGGGACCTTCTGCGGCGACCTGGTCCGTGAAATGCGGATGCGCGGGCGGGAAGTTGGGGAAACGGCACGGCGTCGCTGCCGCAAGGCTTAAGGGCAGCGGAGCCGCCGTCTCGCGAAGCCTCGTCGCCGTCCAGCTTTCGGGATACTTTCGGCGAGCTGGGTGTCTGTCGGCGGCGCTATGTGGCTTGATAGGCAGCTGGACGGCTAGTTAGTTAGTTAGCTAGCTAGTGTATATTAGTGTATTCATGTGTGATTTTTTTTCCATTCAAAGTCAAATTAACGTTCTTGAGAGGAAAGGCGCCGCGTCCCGGGTTCGTCCCGCTAACCAGAGCAGCCCGACTCCGCCTGTAGCAGCTAGTTAGCCGCCGCTCCATCTGCGCACCGAGTCGCTGCCTTTCCCCGGTCCGTCTGGGGGGGCTATTTAGGCATGTTTGTTGGGTGACTCTCACGGTTTTGGTTGTTTTTTTTTTTGCTTTTGCTTTTTTCCCTCCTTGTTTTTGTTGGTCTTCACGTTCGCTGCGCAGGATGTTTACGGCAGATGCTGAGATCCGGACTGGGGCCGCGTAATCAGGGCCCGGGCGTCGCTTCGGGCTCCCTTACCGGCGGCACTTTACGCTAACAGGGGTATTTTTACACGTTTCTACACAGTTATCGGCTGTTCTTTTTTCCTCTCTCCATTGTGAGAGTCTAACCCTAACCCTACCCGCACGGTATCCGACAGCGTGCGGGGAGACTTTACTATGTCGTTAGCTGGCTAACAGTAAATGCCGAAGCGCTATTTCTTGCACCTGGAGGCGTCCGGACACCTGTATCGCCCATAAATAAAGCTGCAGTTTGGGCTGGACTCGTGTCGTTAGGCCACTAGCTAACGGGGCTAAAGTATCCCGCCGTAGCGGGGCGTCTGCGGCTCGGGCATGGAGGGTGGAGGTCATCCACAGAGAGCCAGCCCTCTAACCAGAGAACTGACCAGGACCTTCAGCGTGTATAACAAGTACTCGGTACTGCTAAAGAAGAACCTGAAGGAGACCGACGCGTTTTTCCGAGAGATCCGACAGAACTACAGCAATGCCTGCGCGGCGTCTGCCGCCGGCTCCGAGACGCTGGAGGTGGAAGCAGGTAGGGGCGCCTCATCCCGCCGCCGTCCCGAGCATCTCCGAGCCCCCCCCCCCGGGCTGCCAGATCCCACGCATCAGGCGTGACACCAAAGCTTTCAGACTATCATGCATGGAATCGTACGGGAATATATATTATTCCATTATAAACCTAAAAATAGCTACAACATAAGCGTTGGGGTGGTTTGCAAACCCTACAGACTGTTTACAAGGTAATAAAACTCTTACATACATGTAAATGGGTGCAGACTTGTCTCGAATTGAAAATCTCACGCCAGCCTGCTGCCCAAAGTTGGCAACCCTGCCCCCCTGCACGGGGTAGCCGTTGTGTACCAGGACTGTTTTGCAGAGTCATCCTGTCTCCTTTTAGGTTATTAATTTGTCTGCAGTCTCGCACATAGCTTGTAAACACTGTCCGAGAGCATGTGCAGAATCTGAAGGGTTCGGTTTGGTCCGGCCGGCCCGCACTAAGAGACGGAGCCATCAGAAATGACGCACAATGAATCTCTCTTTTTCTTTCATTTTATCCTGGGGAGGGTGGTGGTACGAATGAGCGATTCGCATAAAGCACAACTTTGTGCTGCTGCTTTGGTAGAAAGGCGCATTAGGGCGAATGAGGGCTGAATCTCCGGCTGGTGTGTTTGTGTGTGTGGGGGTTGGTGGTAGGGGGTCACAACGATCTTGCCTCACGTTTTTGTGATCTATTGCGATCTAAACGGCGATCTTACGTTTAAGTCGTTTTATTTTATAAACCATGAGAACCGATGTTGACAAAGTAAGAGGGAAAAAATAACGCCAACCACGGGAAAGTGGGGTTTTCGTCCTATCAGTCCAGCTGAAGACATTGTATTAAAAGAGATTTACTGAGAAACGTCTTGGGAGATTAAGGCAGCTACAGGGGAGGTTGCTCAACATTGTTAAAACCTGTGCAAAATTGTACAATTTGCCATTGTTAGAACTGCTGTTTTGAAATTTGAGGACAAAAAAATCCTGCAGTCACATGCACTAATAACAGCACAAAGATCTCAAAACATTGTTTTATTATATTTTACAAACCAGTAGGGCTTGCTGTGTTCATTTTGAGTCGGTCACGTGTTTGAGGCACAATGTAAGCGTTCCAATCCATATATTTTAAGAAACGCACACTTTGATTTTTTTTTTTAAATAAATATTTCCTTTTCATGGCATAAATTTGTCCCACCTTGTGTAAACTGCATAAATGTTTAAGGTACATAGTCTACTGTTCGCCAATGAATCTGCTGGGGAAACGGCTTGCAGCAAGGATTTGCACAGCTACTGTTTATTATCACAACAAACAGATGTCGTTTGAAAACCGTTAAACGTTTGGCCACTTATATGTTGCCATAACCAAACGTGAAAGGTGTGGCTCGTTAGGATACAGTGCAACTGTACGAATCAATCTGAATAGTCTGGTGGTAGCACACAGCATCATGGGGGTAATGTGCATTTTTAAAACCTAATGTAAATGCATGCAATTTTGCCTTTGAATTTGGGGTGGGGGGTGTATGGTTATTTTAATGTTTCGTTCACTCACCACAGCATGCAAAAGGGCTGGGAATCTCCCAGTCCCAAGAACAAATTAGTTCCAGTGGGTGTGAACTAACTATCACGCAGCTGAGACTGACTTGATGTTATCGGCCAGAAAGAAGAGCGAAGCGTAGTTTTATGATATTCTAGGAAATTACTGATAGCAGTGCAGCTTGTAGGCATCGTAAATAGTTTAGACAATGTGAGACTTCTGTGGAGATTCTTTAATGATACAATGTATGGGAATTAGTTCACTGTCAGCTGTACTGAAATTGGTTGGTGTCTTTCTCACTTGTGTGAAGGGTCTTATTTGATGATTGAAAATAACCATGTTCTAATTATAAATTAAATGATTTGGTGGAGATCCATTATTGTCATAGACTAGGTCTTTCAACCCCCCCCCCCCCCCCCGCCCCAAAAAAAAGAATCACTGCATTATTCAGCTGTAATTACTGCCAGTTTTATTAAGTGGGTATTTTTCATTTTATTTTTATGTAATATCCCTTCCGCATATTCCTATGTGGCAATGCACTTACACTGATAAAACGTAAACTCCCTTTGGGTGGCCGTGTATGGTCCACAGACGCTTTTATTTAGGTGTGTGTGAGTGAGAGAGATTTTTGCTTGATTGGGGTGATGGCCCACGGAGGATGAAGGCAGCCGTGAATGTGAAGTTCCCCATAGTTGACAGGCTCAGCAGGGTGTGTAGTGGTGTGGAAATGTGTGAAAAGTGATTCTGCAGTTAAAGCCTGGCCTCTGGAAAGGCAGGGAGGAGGAGGGTGAGGATTTAGTGAAGGTTCTCTGCTTCCGGACCAGATGCATGAGCATGTGCAGGTTCTTCTGTATTCAGAGGGTCTCTTTGCAAAAGATATGGCGCGTGAATGATAATATATGAATTTGTTTTCCCAGCATGGGATTATTCCCAGCCAGACCAGCAGAGAAGAGGTGACGGCTGGGGGTGTCCGTGGCTTGTGAACCTGCGCCCACCCAGTCATCACGGCACACTGGTCAAACTGGTTCTCACTCTAGCCGACACATTATTTTGTTAGGGAGGTGAAGGTCACTTTAATTTTCTTGCCAAAAGAGATTTTTTTTCCCCATGTCACACAGATAGTGGTTTTTGAATTTGATGCTGAACAAGCTGATACTTCAGTCCTCTCTCAAAGCCAGAGCAGAACACTAGGTGCTTCAGAAAAGCACAGTTCTCTTCTGTGGCTGTAGCTGGTTCCCACTGGTGTTTTTGACAGCCAGACTCGTCAGGCTGTTGTGCTATGCAAGCTCCATCCTTAGGAGCTAACCTGCTGACTTAATGCCTTTGGGGATCTGGAGGGGTGTCACCAGGATTCTTTGACTAGCTTTTGGAGATCGACAGAACATTATTCTTTTTGGAGAGTAATATGTCAGCTTTCCCAGTTGCTCAGAGTGCAATAAAATGTGACACTGGGAGGAAATGGAGTTTTCTTTTGAAGGTTTATAAATAAAATGTGTTGAGCTTTACTTCTGAGTAGCAAGATGTACTCGCATCTGTTTGTGTGGCGTAGGTGGCCCGTGCCACAAAGGAGGCTTTTTGTCAGCTGGGACACCCCAATGCACGTTTCTGTGGGGGAAGCCCTAAATAGCAGTGCGATCACCCCATGCCCTTCCGGGGCACCAGATGATGCCAGTTGCTGGGTCATCGGTCGTTTTAACTATTAACTTTTGCTGGATAAACGGATTGCAGGACACGAGTGCTAAAGACACTGTTGCTATGTCAGGGTTTGTCTTGATTAGGAAATCGTATGTTTACAAGCAGAAGCATTCATAGACACAGCTTCTGAATCTCATTTTAAAATCCCCTTTCGAACACCAGTGTTGCAAAGTTCCGTTTCATTAAAGTTTGCTGCAGTAACTTCTGGTGAAATTTCTGTTTCTGGGTAATCAGTCTGAAGTGTTTCTTAACTCTGTCTGTTAATGTCTTGTATTTTATGAGTGTAATAATAAAAATAAATTGCAGTAAGTACCCAGCCAACAACAGTGGAAATTAGTTTTGCATGTTGCAGCTAAATTAAGACTTTATGATAGCATATTTCTGCATCAAACACATGGAATGAAGGCATGTAGTCAAGTTGGTGTGAACAAGGGCATGCTTAAGTTACAGAACATTCAAAAACAAAAAATTTTCATTGTTCATTTTTCCCCCTCAACTGTGACTTATTTTTAACTGAAAGGTTTCATTTGCACAAAAAAATGTTTAGAAGAGGATGATTGCTGTTTGACTGAAATGTTTTCATTTGAGTTGATAGTTGGTTACGGCCACAAAAACTAGAGTCTGGAATTTAACAAAGCTTGTGGGTAAGATTTACTGCTTTGAGGTCTGTGGGTATCCACTATTGAAAGAAACGTTGTTGTAACCATGTAGTAGCCGTCATCCATTATTAAAACTTAACCAATTCAAAAGTCTTTTTTTGGTCGTCCATGAAGTGTTTTGGTCTTTTGAACGGGGGGGGGTAGGAAGAGTCTAAAGCAGTGTTTCTCAACCCAGTCCTCAGCGAACCCCAGCCAGTCCACGTTTTTGCTCCCTCCCAGCTCCCAGCCAATCAGGAACACCGAATAGCTGGTACAGGACAGGTGCGCCGGGAGCTGAGAGGAAGCAAAAACGTGGACTGGCTGGGGTTCGCTGAGGACTGGGTTGAGAAACACTGGTCTAAAGGTAACAGAGTGTACCAGAGGCTTCTGACTTTTCACAGGTCTCTGTTAACACCCCTGGGCGTGTACAGTCATCCCGATGTGACCCAAGAGCCCCAGTCCCTAGGCAGACTCTGTGTGACGTCATTATCCAGCAGCAGTTCAATTTAATAGTTAAGTCGTAGTTGATGGTCCCTCAAAAGAACATCTATAGATTAAAATAACGTTTGTCGTCCTCCACTCGGCACAATGGTGTTTTGGTCTAGGTGTGGTCAGTGTTTGATGGGCAGTGCCCATGAATGTACCATGCTCACGGACCGATGCCTGTTGGGTGGCTGCCGCTCAGCGTCTCCTGCCCATTCTGCCGGTGACGCCTTCCCTCTGCCCCCAGGTCAGCTGAGCTGCATTTCCTTCCCCCGCCATGAGGTGGAGCTCCTGCAATCCAGCGTGGGCAGCACGCCCCTTATCGTCGTACTGGGGCAGGACTGCGCCTCCCGTTACCAGCTGCTCAACACCCTCCTGGGGGAGCGACTCCTGCCTGCGGGGCCGGGGCACGGCGGCGGCCCCTGCGGGGAGGGAGGCGCCTGCAAGCGTCGCAAGCTGCGCTTCACGCATGGCCGCCAGACGCGCCTCAGCCTGGCGCTGCCCGGCCAGTACGAGCTGGTACACCAGTTGGCGGCGCACCGTGGCCGCTGGGACACAGTGCCCAGGGAGGACCTGGAGATCCAGGAAGAGTGTGAGGACCCTGCCCAGCGCCTGGCCGAGCTGGAGGTCACGCTGCATCACAGCCTGCTGCAGGTATGCGCCTCAAACGCAGAGGTGGCTTTGAGAAGGCCGTCGCTTATCTGTGGACATGCTGGGGCACCTTTAGTGTCCCGCTGCCTGTGGTCTGTCTGGTACAATGATTTGTTTCGCAATATCTCCTACTTTGCTCTGCTAGCTAAGTGACATGTAGCAGATCTCATTGCGACAACTAATTATTAAAGCCTTTAATCATACGAGAGATACATTTGTGTGGTTTTTTTTTTTGGAAAGCAGTGTCTCAAAATCTTGTTTCCTTTAATAGCATTATGGAAGCTTTATATTGCATTTCCATTAAAGTATATTGTATATTTTAGGCAGCAGCTGAAGGGGCTATTGTGATTCTGGCTTGTTTAGTACCTACTGTTTATCACAGAGTGCAGTATTTTCTGTTTGTTGTTGTTGTGGTGTTTTCGAGCTTGCCAGGCTACACTTGCAGTTCAGGACAGGCCTGATTTGCCATCAAAGCTTGATTTTTGAGAGCATCCCTGTTTCTACTGTGGAAATGTCTAATACGAAACAGAACCAGTTCTGACTCCCTGGACATTTGGGGTGCCCCTTTTGTCAGTCTTAACAGTGACAGATGGCTGCCACTAGGAGACTTGTGCAGAGCTGGTTACTGTCTTGCCAGTTTTGGAGAAGTTAGAGGTGGTTCTGGTTTTTGTAATTTAAAAAAAAAAAAAAGTGATCAGAGAGCTGATTTCCCAGAGGTCTGACTGTTCGTCTGTGCTTACTTGTTTGCTGGAAAATTTAGCATACTGTGAAGGGTTTTTTTTGGGTGATGGTTCATCCAGCTGTTTGCAGGGATTTACCGAAATGTGTGTCTTTATTGCCGTTTCACCGTATCGCTGCGGGACTTTGTTTATGGGTCATTATAAATGAATTCTGCCACCATCGCTTACCCAGGTTGAGCCGGCTCTAAGCCATGACTTTGAGATGATGAAACGGGGCTGCTTTGACCTCAATAGTCACATGAAGTTTTTTGTAAATGCCCAGTGAGGCTGACAAACCGCTAAATGTGACCCCCTGCAATTTGCATATGGAGTTGGTAGCGGTGTGGAGGATGCCACCCGGACGTTCCTGAACAGTCTGCATCATCATCTGGAGAGCCCCCTGTCCCATGTCAGACTTCTCTTCATTGATTTTTTTCCTCAGCTTTTAATACTATACAGCCACACCTGCTTGCTGAGAAACTACTCTCTGAATTTAAACTTGATTTTAACACCACTGGGTGGATTTTAGATTTTTTGACGGAGAGAACACAGTGTGTAAGGATCAATGATGTCCTTTCAGACAAGCTTCACTCCTCCACTGGATCCCCCCTGGGGTGTGTTCTTTCCCCTCTCCTCTATATTCTATATACAAGCAGTCTGACAATAGTCAAATTATTAAGTTTGCCGATGACTCAGTCATTATTAGTCTACTGGAGGAGGGGAACTGGATCATGGTCCAGTGGTGGATAACTTTGTGACTTGGTGTAAGGATTCTGTCCTAGAACTGAATGTGTCAAAAACTAAGGAGATGGTGATTGACTTTAGGAAGTGTGCTGCTGTTCCTAAGGCAGCAGTGATAGAGGGATCAGAGGTAGAACTGGTAGACAATTATAAGTACCTGGGTACGGTGCTGGACAATAGGTTAAACTTCAAAGCTAATTCATAAGAAGGTTCAGCAGCATCTTTATTTTCTGAGGAAAATGAACACTTTTAATGTATGTACCAAAATGATGACACTGTTTTATAGAACCTTTATTGAGTCTGTACTGTCCTTCTCCATTGTGATATGGTTTGGTAACCTCAACCTGGCAGAGATAAATAAGCTTGTCAGTGTAGCTGGTAAAGTCATAGGGGTAACTCAAACCCAGCTTTGTGACCCAGTATGACCGTCATGTGCTCGGGAAGGAATTGGCAATACTAGATTATAATGACCACCCCCTCTACAGGGAGTTTGTGCTTCTACCTTCAGGTTCCCACACACAGGACTAAAAGATATAAACTTTCTTTTGTTTGTGTTGCTGTTAATATATTGAATAAGCACAGATGATGTCACTGATGGGCTTGACTATTTCTGTTCTGGCTCTTCTGCTTTCCTAGTTTCTCCATGTAGAAATCTTGCACTGTGGCGTACTGTGTACTTGTTTGTGTTGTGGTTTTTTGTGGATGGTTTGTTTTGTATTATGTATTGGTCACTGTCTCTATGTTGGTATTTGTTTTTAATGGTTGTATTCCTTTATCTATTTTGTTGTACTCCTTTTTAAATGCCTGGCTGCAACTTAAATTTCCCTGGTGGGATAATAAATTTGACTTGACTTGAAATCGCTAATATGAAGTGGCAGGGAATCGATGGAGCTTCGCACCTTGGACCAGTAATTTGCTCGGTCTTCTGCCTCCAGAGATGTTAGTAGGTCTGTCCCCTGTGGTTTGAGACCCCACCCCCCTCCAAAATTCCCTTGTTGTTCTCTTGAAGTTTGTCGTGAGCCCTTGTGGGTGGTGGCTTTCTCTATTTACAAATGCGGCACAACACGGGTAATTATAGGCCAGGCCCTGAGGACAGAGATGGGCCACAAATCAGAGCAACGTCTAAAACCTATGAGAGTCACAAGGGACGGGCATGCATGATGCGGCCGTCCAGGCTGTCTGCGACCGGGGGCTGCTGGATGTCACTCCCATTCCTCACAAGACATTGACAAACTGTCAGATAATTCAGTATAGGTTCTCACCTTCAACTGATCCAGCTATTTTTAACAGAACCAGTACGGGAGCATCAAAGTCAGGAGGACAGTCATGCTAACGCAGCCCACGTTCACCCCCAGGGCTGCTAAACGGAGGTTTGGACAGAACATACCTTCAGTTTGACCTTGATTTGCCAACCTCAATGTATGAGAATATCCTGTTTTGAATGTGCCTCAGAAAAACCTCAACACTCAGATTTGTTCAGTTCTGATCTCATGCATCATTGGAAAGTCGAGTTTCTTAGTTTGAGCCTTTACTTAAACCCCCCCCCCCCCCTTTGTCAAAGTGCATCTGTCTTGTTGTCCATCATTGTGCTGTCGATCTGCTTTGTCCGCACAGGCCTCTACTAGCTAGATGAGATTATGTGGCTGGATTAGCTAAGCGGACCGGCTTATGCGTGTGAGCCACAGGCTGCGGTGGGCTGGCGGCCAGTCACTGTCACGTGTGTCGGTAGCAGGCTGCCCGGCTAATCCCTGAAAACAATGACAGTGCTCATATGTGCCCTGGGGAGTCTGACCCCCCCCCCCCCCACCAGGCAGCTGGGGTCACAGCTGCGCAGGCAAGGCCGCTGTCTGCTGCGTTTCACATGATGCGCAGATGTGTCTTTGCCTGGATGTTGTGGGGGTTGGTGGTGCAGCGGCGCTCAGTTCGGTGTAGCTCATGCAATCCAGCTCCAGAACATGAAGCTGAATATGCAATAGAGGGCGGCCGCTAACGATTTTTCTATGGATTAATCTATTAACCGTTTTACCGATTTCTCTATTAAATGATGAATTTTCTTCCAGAAAATCAAATTGACTGTTAATTTTATTCTGACAACAAACTGTATGTCATTGCCAGGCGTCTTGGATAATGGACACTGGCTTTTCAGCACCATACAGACAGTATTTTTCGCCCACAATTGGGGGATGTCCCAGGTTCCTCTTCCTGTGCTTGCAGAAACTAAGTATGCAGCGTACCTTTGCCGGACTTCTCGAAAGATTTCGAGAGCCGTGGATGGATGTGACATCTACGGAGACGCTGCTCACATAAAGCTTCTTTCCAGAAAAACATCTTCCAACCTGTTTCTGGTTTTTTGACAACAGACCTTGACGAAGTGTGATACACTTGTGATGCCTTCTCAGTGGCTTTTTGGGAACACTGTGGTATGGCTGTATTTTCACTCGGTTACATGTGGTTCTGTGTAAGGAAGCCCCCAGTCTCCGCTCATGGTTCTGGGACCTGCAGAATGGACCTAGGGTTGAAGCTTCTCTGATTGGTTCGTGGTGGTGTTTGGTTTCTGCTGCCAGGCTTGCATCTTTAGACAACTGGGAAGGTCTTTGGCCCTGGGGACTGAGAGCAAGAACAGCATAACACAAGTGAATTACACTCCACATGTGACAACTTGCTATTGTATTATGCATAACTGCCATTGTGTTTGCACTGGATATATTTGTGCAGTGCTGAGTATTTGTTGTGTGGGGTCTCGTTAATTACTCAGACGTAGTTTTAAATGGTGTTAGTTTTGGCTGTGGTCTTCAATGTTTTTTCTATAGTATAGGGTGGATAAGACATGCCCTTGTTTATATTAGTCATTCATATCTGCATTTATTTTTCTTTTGAATACTGAGCACTGCTGGCCCTGCTTTAGCGGAAGCATGGCGGTCTGTAAATGACCGAAATTGTGACATTATTTTTGTACAATGTGAAATCATGACGGCCTTTTGTCTGTCTTGACTTTACTGATTAAGGTTATCATGTCACAGCCAGTGATAGAGTTGGAAGGATATTTCACGGGGGGTGGTGGTGGTCAAATCTTTGGGGGTGGTTTAGGGTCTAGAGTCCACCATCTGAATAGCCCTGATAGCCGGTAGATTTGCGTAAGTGAAACTGCAGAGAATAATCTTTGGGGGGGGGGGGGGCTGTATTTTTGGCTGTATTTTTGTCATCCCCTCCCACTGTCTCATAGGTTAGAGTCCCATAGAATCTTATGCAGCTCATTCAGGACTCACTCTCTTCACCAGATGACCCCCCCCCACACACACCCCTGCCACCCCCGCTGTTGTCTGTCATGGTTATTGTGCGGGTTGCCCTGATCGGGAAAGAGAGCTTGGAACCTGGGCCTGATGTTTATCGTGAAGAGAACTCGTTTTCTCACCACTATTGCCTGCTTCGGTAGAGAGTTCCATGGTTCCACCATCTGAAATTGGAGCTTCCAATTCATGCAGTTTCCAAAACTGTGTTGTATACGTTAATAAGGTAAGCCTCCTGCTCTGACTGTAGCACGTCATTGCTCCTGTTTCTGTGCTGTTTTTCACAGCTCCGCTCTTCCCCCATCAGTCTCTCCCTGCGTTCCTTCTGTCTTCGCTTGGTTTCTATGTGTATGTGGTGGTCGGTCCTCGAAACCGCTGACGGGAATATCAATTAGGGCAATTAGCGGTTATAATACTGTTGCTTAAGCTCTGCTCTTTGACTAATTATAGCTAGTTTTGGACAGCAGACTGATTCAGCTGACGTGATGAGTATAAACAGGTACTAAGGAAAAATGGAATTTAGGGAATGTATTGTGAAAAGCAGATTACTTTGGCTGTCCAATAGCAAATAGTGTAATACTGTATTGTTCTGTGCTGCGTTGCTGATTGGCCGTTCCACAATGATGCTGGGAGCAGGCGGAGTCAGGGACCCAGTTTGCGCGCCGGCATGTGATTTTGTTATTGTGTTTTATTTGTGTGACGGTTTGCGATAGACTTTGGGGTCACGACAGCCCCCACACGTAAACGTGGAAAGGGGGCAGGAAAAGGATAGGCTGGGGTTTCTACTTTATGGATGATGGGGTCTGAGCTGGCTACACACTAGGGCTGTTTTCAAAAAATCGATACGGCAAAATATCGTGAGATGCTCTTGGACAATACATGTATCAGTACAGACGTGCTGTATCGGTATGGGCAGTTTAAGAACTTTTATTTGGCAGGTTATCCAATGGTGCAAACGGCAGTTGTGAAAGTGCAGTGTGCAGTGCAGCCGCAGGGTGCCAGCCAGGAGCGTAGGATTTATATTAACATGGGGGGGGGGGTATATTGGGGTCTGAGGTGTGGCGTCACGTCGCCTTATAAGGCGATTCAGTGGTCATGCTGTGTACAGTTTGTTTTTTTTCCGTAAACTATTGCTGTTATACTTACAATATATAAAGTGAAATTTATCTTTCCATTTTACTGTTATTCATTTTTACTAATATGGTAATTTAAGTGCGTTAAGTCCCGCATTATGAAAGCTGCATTTGCGGGAATTATTAAATGCCCCTATCACTCTCCTGACAAACAAATCCTAACTTTCCGGAAAGAAAAACAACACACATAAAATAGCGATATTTCCTTTCTGCCAGCACTATTTATGAACTAAATGATTAAGAGCTCCTGGTAACTCAGTTCTCTAAATACCAGATCAGTCTGCCCTGTTTTTTGATGGGCATCTTACTCTTCCTTACGCCGTAACAGCAAACAGTGTGATGAGAATCGTGACTGTGACACAAACGCTATGTACCTGCATTATAAGCCTTGCTATTTGTGTTACGCTGTTAACTATCTAAGCTCGTTTGCACAATCAAATAAGATAATCTTTATGAAACTTAATCAACATGAGACCATTAAATTCCACCATTTCACACAGCCTTTTATTAATTATTAAGGTTTTCGATAAGTTAACATACAAATTGAAGCCGTGCCGCACTTTTCCTCTCACCGCTCTCTGTGTCGCCGCTTTACTTGCAGGTCTGGAAGTGAGCGTCTGCAAGCCGGAGCAGGAGTTTAGAATAAACCATTTCAATGAAGGTTAGGGGTTCTCCAAATAAAAACTGTAAGAGAGAACCTTTAAGTTATGTAATGAGATGTATTAATCCTTAAGGGTTTTTTTTTGTAAATCAGGCTTTGTATGTGACATTATTGAGGGTGGTGATCCATCTCAACACTGGACCTCAAAATAATATACAATTAAAAAAATAATAAACGATCCGTTCAGCTGTTTAGAATACTTGTTATTTAGGCCTTATTCAGAATGTATCGTGATACGTATCGTATCATTGCCCCATATCGTGATACGTATCGTATCGTGAGGTTGCTGGCAATACCCAGCCCTACTACACACTGCATCCCAGTGTGGAAAAACAATACGACTCGGGCTGAAAGTAAACCGAAACGGACCTGCGGACATTTAATCAATACTGCAGACCGACCTCTTGGCAGCTAACTGGCACTCTCCTTTCTGAGGCCATTGCCCCCCTCCCCAAGCCCCCAGCATTTTTAACATTTCAACTTTTGGGTAAAAACACTGCCGGGAGCCTTTCCTTTAAAAGATTTTGTTGACCAGACTTGCATTTAAGAGTAAAGCATATGTAATTAATTCCGACTTCGATCTTGGAACCAGTCTTAAAGAAATGTTTAGCAACAGTCGTTTTATGGTTTCGTACTATTTCTCTATAAATTCATAGTTTGTGCATAAGAGGCTATATAGTTTACTTTAGCTGTAATACTTTTAATTAGTATGAATGAACTCAAAGTATTTGTAGCTCATTTGTAAAATACATCGCACTAATGTTTCACTTCACAAATGTGCATTAAAGGGGACAAAAGCAGCTTTATTAAGGTATTTTAGTGAAATATGCCATGAATTTGTTTATGCCCTGACTGCATTGTTCAATTTTATTTCCCCTCAGTGAGAATATTTGAGTGTTTGTGTCATTCAGAAGCTCTTTGAAGCTCTTGCCCTTTCCTGTTTCACTTCCTGCTTTCCCAAACGTGGTTCTCGTCTGGAGAGGGAGCCGCACGTTTCCCCGTTACCCTGAAGCCTCAGTGGCTGCCACACTGCACACTGTATCAGGTGATCCCCCCTTTGGAGGGGGGAACAAAAAGTAGGATTTCCTCATCGTTTGTGTTGGTGCAGGTTAGAGAAATGCAAGATGATCCAAAGCTGGTATTTATAGTTTGTGGAGATGACTTCCTGGGTGTGGGACATCACAGATTATTAAATAGCCAAACATGATGGCACGTCACCCAGAGAAGGTGATTATGTGCATCGCGTGCTACAGTAGAATACCCTGAACTAGACTTCTAAGTGAATTCAGCCGGTATTAACAAGAACTGGAATGTGGGTGGGGGGGGGGGGGGGCGCTTCAGTTTGGCCAGATCAGACCAGCTGCCCTCGCAGCCCTGTGCTGAATTCGGGAGGCTTGTGCAAAGTGGGAGCAAACTGTTTTTAGACGTGTGCTGGTCAGAGCATTAACTTGCTAATTGTGCTCCCCAGTCTGCTTTCTGTCCAGTGCACCTGGAGCTTCAGTGTTAAGCCTGATGAGGCCTCCCTGAAAGCGAGACCATCTCAGGCTTGAACACAATGTCTGCATCATGGACACGTCTGTCTTCTCCTCCCGGAGTGTAGTCTTTGTGTTCCAGCGTCGCCCGTTTTCGCTTTCGCTCCGAGCGCTTAGTGGCAACCTGCCCCTTTTCTAATGAAAGTTGCCCACAGTGTTGGTGTCTTGGAGACGGGACTGACTGTTTCCTTTGTGAATCTGGATGAGTCATCTCTCCTTCTCCATCTCTCTCTCTCTCTCTCTCTCTCTCGCTCATGCGCTCCCTCCTTTTCGCTCTGCAACTTCACCCGTAAGTAGTGGTTACAGAGTTCTGTCCGATCGACAACTCCAGACTTGATCTCTCTCAAACCGCTTCACACCTGTCCAGCTGGTCTGTTGAATTAGTGGAATTTTCTATCAGGTGATCAAACTCACGATTTAATGAATTCTAGCTGTTGATGAAAGACATTTTTTCAAGAGTAGCTGTAACCTTCCCAGATAAAAAACCCAAGTCATACAGGATAGCATAAGCTGCTTATGTGATCTTTGCTGGAAGACAAACACCAGGTACTATAATCTATGGAAGTGCAAGTGTGTCCACTTAGATCTGTCACGTCTGCTTTCATGCTGTAATTACCTCTGGTTCTGCTAGCATGGATATCTGATTCAGCTTTCTTGCCATTCTTAATAAAGCCAACCCATTCCCTTGCCTGATATTTACCCATTTGTGCCTGCTGACGTCTTTTAAAATAATGAGTAAGGCCTGATCTTGACAGTTAAGTCAAGTATAGTACAGGTTGCAGCATTCCTGTAAAGAACAGGCAGCCACTTTAATTACAAAAGCCAGAAATTGTATTAAATGAAGAACTGCTTGGTAGCTGAAAGAGCTGGATCTGGACGTTTCCAAGGGGTTTGACCCAATGACATTCCGTAATGTACAGCCTACGTATACATGTATGTACTCAAGTGAATTCAGGCTCTGAGACGGGTAAACATCAAGGCCGACAGCAGCAGACGGGCAAAGCACGTGTGGCTGGCCGGCTAGAGTGACAGGATGGTGATCGATCCCATCATGAATGTATGGTTTGATGTGGCAGCAGTAAATGGCAATAAAGGAACCTGGTGATATTTTTCATGGTCGTCCAGCAGACTACTGTCGGTTTTAGCCTGAAAGAAAATTTGATGTTAGTCGACCATTAAAATAAAGCGCTGGCATCAGTGATGCTGATTTAGTGCTTTTGGACTTGGCCTGGGTGCATAAAAGTCTTCAACGAAAGCGCACAGGTGGGATTGTCAAGTATTAAACTCGCCCTGCTTCCTGCCTCTGGTTCACGTGTGTTTTCTCCTCTGCATGACTTACAGCAATGCTTTCCAATCCAGTCCTTGGGGACCCACAGTCAGTCCACGTTTTTGCTGGGGACCTGGGAGGGAGCAGAAATGTGGACTGTCTGGTAGGGAGCTCAGAGGAAGTAAAAATATGCATCGGCTGTGGGTCCCTGAGGACCGGATTGGGAAACACTGACTTCTGGTATTGTACGTTCTTAGGCTACTGGCCTAGTTCATGAAGATGAGGCATCTCTGAATTGTCCATGATGTGTGTGTGTGTGTGTGTGTGTTGTTGTGATGGACTGGTCTCTCATCCATGTTGTCCCTGCCATGTTTCTTATGCTGCTAAGATGGGCTACCTGTTGCTGCTAAGATGGGCTACCTGTTGAGTACAGCCCATTGTACTGGACCTGAGGGCTAGATTTGCTCTGCAGTGTCCTGGAGCTTTTAAGCATAGAAAAGCAGAGCTGTAAAACGCACGTAATGGTATCTTAAACTGTATAGATGTATGAAATGCAGCCTGAATGATCAGTGAGAAGACTTCCTGCTTCCATGGGATAGTAACAGCGCTTCCTGTCACAACCCCCCCCCCCCTCCCACAGGAGTGTAAGATCCTGGTTGTGCCGTGCCCCACGGTGCAGCCCATGGAGGTCGCCCTGGAGGACTGTCAGCGCGACGTGGTTCCCATCTTCCTCTATGCCGTCAGCCAGGAGCTGCTCACGGCTGGACATATCGCCGAGCTGAACGCCATGCGGCAGGCGCTCTCCTTCCCCATCTGCTTCATCCGCGTGCCGGCTGAGCCTGCCGAGCCTGCCCCGGAGCGCAGTGAGCGGGAGCGCAGTGAGCGGGAGCGCAGTGAGCGGGAGCGCAGTGAGCGGGAGCGCAGTGAGCGGGAGCGCAGCCCCCTGCACCGGCAGCTGCTCTCCCTGGGCTTCATCAGCTCCCCGGTGGGGAACTGCTCCTGCGGCGCCCCCTCCCAGGGTTCACTCCTCTCGGCCAGGCCCCAGAGTGTCTTGGGCGAGGCCTTCGAGCGGCTTCATCGCCTGCTGGTGCCTTTCGCCCGCCAGGTGCTGCAGTACCAGCAAGTGGAGGCCACCAGCATCCTGAACGCATTACACTGTCGCTGCCTGGACCTCTTCATCAACCAGGTAGGTGTGGAAAGCTGTAAATAAGGGGGTGGCAGGGGCAGCATGGTGTGGGGGGGGGGTCAGGGAGCAGCCAGAGACTCACATCCCCTCCAGGCGTCATGGCAGCTCACACCATCAGGCCGGTGCTCTCAAGGTCCAAGGCCTACAGTGGTTCTGTTATTGTCCTGCTGAGGGCGCTACAGAACAGCTTTATTATAACGTCTGATGAATTGATGATCTGCCTGTAGAATAAGTGATTCACGGCACCTGGAAAAGTGTCTGATCTTCAGCCTGCGACCCACCTGAATAAGCAGGGTGTGTCTGTCAACGTGTGTGAATAAAACAACCTAAGAGATGATCATTCGCACACTAAAAGTAAAAATGTCAAATGACTGCATTGTAACAATTGAGCTGAATCCTGTAGCAATAATTTCTGTAGCTGTAGTTTTTTTTTTGTGTAGTTTTTTGTGGCAGAAGCGCCTTAAATGCCACGTAGAGACGGAGTTACATAGGCTGCTTCTGACTTACTTCAGTCCTACACACACTTGGATGGTGTCGTCTCAAATGAGTTAGCATGCTGGGTGTGTTTACAGAGAAATATCTGCTTTGATAACTGAGGCAACAGTCATGGTCTTATGTAGCAGTTGGTAGAAACTACTGAGCTCTTCAGCACTACGCATATCCACTAAGCACAGCTACGATTAGCATAATATTTTCTGTTGAACATCTAGTTGTGAATTTAGGTTTCACCTGTGTTAAGAAATGTTTTTCATTGTGCATTCCAAACTGAAAATAAGTCGAAATGCACACGATCAATACGTGCAGTTATAGCCCTCATCCTTAATTTAAATGTAGACCTGGGATACTCCCCAGCAAAATCTATAAAAACAAATCACGGTACATATGGAATCTGCAAAGTAATATCAATATGCTATTGAATTGGGAGGGTCTCTGCCAAATGCCTCCTATTTATTCACATAATCTGACCCCCGACATCCCTGAAGGTGGCATCACTGCTTTCCCGAGTCTGATGAACCCCCCCCTTCCCCCCCAGGCTTTCGACATGCAGCGAGACCTGCAGATCACGCCCCGCCGCTTGGAGTACACGCGTGAGAAGGAGGGCGAGCTCTACTCCTCCCTCATGGCCATCGCCAACCGCAAACAGGAGGAGATGAAGGAGATGATCGTGGAGACGCTGAGCAGCATGAAGGAGCAGCTGCTGGAGGATGCCGCCAACCTGGAGTTCACAGGTAACGCTGGCTGGGGCGCAGCTCAGGCTGGGGTGCGTCCGGAACCTGCAGTCTACGGCTCCTGACACAAGGTCCTACTGTGTTTTTGGACGAGCGCAGAACTTTGGAAGTTGTGAATTTTGTGGGCCTGCTCAGTTTAAACCAGGTGGAATCCTGTAAATACTAAGGTGCTTGTGGGTGAACAGTGAGCATATGGGTTGTGGTTTGTGTGCAGACTAGAGAATAAGCAAGAACCTGATGCTGTATTGGTGCTTTGCACATGCTGGAGGTCACTCAGCTTGGCTGCCTGTTTAATAGGTTTTGTTGCCATTTTCGCATTTGGATCATTCAGGTTTTCAAATGCTTTACAGTCCTGACTGTTATGGTACCGAGAAGCTTATTAACTCCCAGCATTATTTGTATAAAGAGGCAATTTCTTATTTCTCCAAATACAACTGCTGAATGCTTCCATTGCTTCAGATTAATGCGGAACCGTATCCGCATCTTAAAATTTTCAAAATCCTGGCAAATTTACTGAACACTGAAGGGCTTCAGCAACGTATCAATGTACAAAACCTATTTGTAACTGTGTGCCCCCCCCCCCCTCCAATTAGGTGTGGGGGCAGAAGCCATTGAAAGCATAGAGTATACTGTAGTCATATGACCTGACCAGCAAGTTGGAGAAATGCTGTTAGGTTGTCGGATTGTCTCCCAGAGTCATGTGATTAATGTCACGGCACACCATCAATTTAATGCTGCCTGACGGTATGTCTGATGGGCCTTTCGGCCGGAGAGGCTGAAGGCCCCTTTTGCAGTAGGCCCTGCTGCCTGCACTCAATGTACCTTTGTGCCTGTATGCAGTGTAACCTGGTATATTTCTTGGGAATAAATTAAATGTTGATGCACAGCATTACTGATGGCGTTTCCTGTAGCTGTTGGTTTGTGAGCGTTTGTGGATCTCAGCAGCTGTGTCCTGCCTCCGGGGTCAGCCCGTCTCAAGCAGTTTCCAAGTTTTAGTTTAAGCAATGTTTTGTTTGCCCACCAAAACAGCAATGACCAACGAGAATGACTTTCCTTTGAAATTATAGTGTCGTCTTTAGTTAGCGTGGTTCAGCAAGATGGAACCTTTGCCTCAAAACGAAAACTCTCATGTTTAAATGTAATATTGTATAGGTATGAAGAACTGAAACTCGCATAAACGCAAGGCTTAGTGTTTCCTCAATGAACAGAATTAGTCCTGAAACAAAACAAGCCCATCTGTTTGCTTTAATGCTGTGCCTAAACCTGTCAGAGGAGCCCTGCTTGATTTGCAGTGAATAGCAGGCAGATGACTCACTAGTAAATCTTCTCCAGAGAGAACACAGACCCTTTTAGGGAATCATCAGCTTGCTGTTATGCAACAAGTGACTTTAAGTTAGATCAGCAGATGGAGGCTGGAGGAGTGCGATCCCATTCAGCTGTGTGTGTGTGTGTGCGTGCGTGTGCTGGTGGAGGACCTTCCTGTGTTTGGGTGCGTTTTAAGCAAGGTGGGGAGGTGGGTTTTTATTCAGCACCCTTGCTGGGTACTCCCCTGCTACTCCAGGCCGTCCGCCATACGGGTATTTGGCCAGTGTCACCGGCCACTTCTTACTAACATGATAGTCTGAGTGTTGTGTGGGTCTCTCATTAAAGGTACCTTATGAGAAGTTACTTTTTGGACATGCACCTTGTTTGTGTGTGCGTGTCTGCATGTTTGTGTGTGCGTGTCTGTGTGTGTGTGGTGTTCCTGCAGATATTGAAATCCAGCTATACAAGTTGTGCTGTGTAGTAATTGGGTAATTATCATAGCTAGGTGTGGTGTCTGCAGGCTGCCCTAGCTGTTAGAATCGCCCCTTCCTCACCCCCCCTGGAATCACAGATCCCCTCTCCCTTCCCAAAAAATAAATCTTTCATTTTCCTAAAGTAAAGATTGTAGTCCTGTATCAGACTGACTTATTTTATGACATGGATCAGTTCTTTTTTTGGTTGTGTTTTGTGAAACTGCTCCCTACACAATGTTGCTTTTATTTTAAACAATGAAATCTTTATTATTATGAAATTATTTTTAAATCTTTCTTGCATCGCGTCCTTCCACAATGTGACTGTTGCTTGTGTGTCCATTGCAAGCCACCCAACCCCCACCGGGGCAAATTCAACCTCCTTCCGATGTCACTGGGTAGAATCATCCGTACCGCCATGAACCGTGTTAGCTACCCTAACCCTATGAACAAAGGATTGGCGCCAATCTGATGTTTTCCAGTTTCTTTGGGTTTTTTTTTTTATTCCACCCGTATGGTTCTCATGTGTTACAAAGGGTTCTGTCACAGGTGGGCTCACAAGAATGAACTGTGCTTCCCAGTATTTGCCTTTTTGGGGTCTTCTTTTTTAGGTTAGGAGATATCTTGTAAACCTTTTCCATTCTTGACAGCCATTTATTATAGTTGTCAGTTATTTATTTCGGGTATCTGCTCACATGCACCTGCTCTTTGCTCCCCCTAACGCCTGTGACCATGTGACCATGTGACCATGTGACCATGTGACCATGTGACCATGTGGGTGTCACACGGACCATTTCTGGGATCTTTAGCTGAGTGTAACTTGCACGTCAGTTGACTCCTGTTGGCCCTCTGAATTACTCTGTAACCAGCCTTGGGGGGGAGGGGGTTTCACAGGTAAATCCTTTGGTGGCTCTACTGCTCTTTCAGGCCTGAATGTTTGTGTGCCGTGTCCCCCTCTCTCTCCCCCCTTCCCACCCGCAGATATCATTGTGACGCCCAATGGTGATCCAGTCACCTCCCGGGATATCAAATCCTGCATCCAGCAGATCCAGGAACTGATTGTGGTGCGGCTGAACCAGGCGGTGGCTAACAAGCTCATCAGCTCGGTGGATTACCTCCGCGAGAGCTTCGTGGGGACCCTGGAGCGCTGCCTCAGCAGCTTGGAGTCCAACCTGGACACCTCTGTGCACAACATCACCTCCAATCATCTCAAGCAGGTGAGAGGCTCTGTCCACAGATTCGGGCTCATTAATCCTTCTTTCCGGTGACCTGTGCCTAAATTTTCAATAAAGATGGCAAGAAGGACGTGAGTTTGCCTCTTTCTGAGAGTCCCGTAGACAACAAAAATTTCCAATGTCACCACCTGTAGTCCTACAACTTTCCGTCTCTCCAAATAAAATTATTGAAACCATCCCCCACGTCTGGTGGTACGAGGCCACAGAGCCACTTTTTCCGATCAAGATCTAAACCTCTGAGTCCTAAAGCTGTAAAGGACTCAAGCTCCGGATCTGCTAAGGGCACAAAAACAGCACAAGAATGTCTTGTTGCTTTCCTCGATTAAAATTCTTGAATTGTGCTTTTAGCGGGAGTTAAAAAGCTTTAGAGGATTGGGTCACACTGGAAGATGTTAGTCACAGTCGGGTTTGGAAGCAGTGCAGCAGTGAAACTGTCTGCGGAGAGCCGGCAGTGGCAGAAGCGTGAAGCTGCCCTTTCACACTGGGACACCGCAGCCCACTAACTCTGGGGTCCACGCAGCCTTGCAAAAGCAGAAGTGGTCCTGCCAGTCTTTGGCGTGTGCAGTTAGGGCTGTCTGAGGTGGTGTCTTTGAAAATGGGGCATCGGGGCAAACCAACGTCTTTTCTTATTTCAGACCCTGTAACCCTTGAAGTTTTGCACTGGGGATAGGAGGGGGGAATGTTAGACAGTGGTGGAGGAATCAGAGCTTTGTCTATAACGAGTAAAATTACCACCCCTGTAAATAGCTGAGTGCTTCTCTTTCAGGTGTTTTATTCCCATTGGTTTAAACCAGGCTGTGATTGACAGTTAATTGTAACCTCCCCTTCCCCCAGAGTAATATACTCTGTCAATGTTTTTGGGCCGAGAGCACGATCACGTTAGATGGCTGCAAAGATTATACTGGCTGTTTGTTTGTGCTGCTCCCTGAACCTCTGAAACTGTGTACTTCCCCGTTACTTCCCCGCTTACGAGTGTCTCCGCACCTCTCTCAGATCCTCAACGCCGCCTACCACGTTGAGGTCACCTTCCATTCGGGCTCGTCGGTCACGCGGTTGGTGTGGGAGCAGATTAAACAGGTAAGAGTCCGGGGGCTTATCCCCCCAGCTAAGCGTTTCTTTCCGAGGGTTCGGCCAGATTTTTGCTGTCTCATGTGTTGGTGTCTGCAGAGTTTTGTCTTTGCGGCTTCTACCTGCTGCCATTCATGAGTTGCACCCAAGGCGAAGGCTCCGTGGCAGCCAGCCCAGCTGATGCACAGATGTTATTGTTCCTCTTCGACCCCTTTGACCTTCGACCTCTCACACAAGCAAAACCCCTCAAAGCCGAGGCCATATCATTTTACATTTTTTGGTACCACTTTACAAGAACGCTACCCTTTGACACTTATAAATGGTAGTAACTCATTAATAATAAGAAAACTGTGGTGTAACTTGTTTATAATGATTTATAAAGTGTTGCAACCTAATTAATAACCTGCTTATAAACCATTTATAAGGGTAGCCTTATTGTAGAGTGGCACCAATTTTATTTATATATATATATATATATTATATATAAAAAAAAAAACCTTTTATTTGGTTATAGGTGTCTTGTGAATATCATGCTGGGTAACACTGAAGTAGAATTTCCCATTAGCAGAAGAGTTTCAGACTGATTTGTTTGTCATTCTATATGCAGCAGCTTGGTTTGTTTTGATCCGATGTGTCTGTCACTGCTGTCCTGCGACTCCGTACTGCGGCGCTCATTTCCATCCTCGCTTCCCCGTTTCCCGCAGATCCTCCAGAGGCTGACGTGGGTGAACCCGCCGGCCATTACGGCCGACTGGAAGAGGAAGGTGGCCCAGGATGCCATCGAGAGCCTGAGCGCCGCCAAACTGGCCAAGAGCATCTGCTCCCAGTTCCGTACGCGGCTCAACAGCTCCCACGAGGCCTTCGCTGCCTCCCTGCGGCAGGTACGGGCCCTCTGCATCGCCCCATAGACAAGGCAGAAGAATATTCTAGAATGTTTGAAGATAATAGAGAGAGGGCTCTGAACTCTCCGCAGTGACTCAGACTTGACATTTCTGTGAGTGTAAGGTTGGGGTGAGGTAATGAACATCATTAGGTGGTATATTGTGTGTGTTTTTTATAAGCAGATGTGCCCACTGTTACTTCAGCGTTCATAAAGGCTGCTGCGGGCAGTCGTCCCTTTAGTGAGGAGAGGGGAGGAGGAACTGGGACGTACAGGGATATCTTTGTGAAGTCGGGCTTTCTGGCAGCCCAGTGCCCCAAAGGGCAGAACTGAGAGAAACAAACAAGATGTTTCTTATTTGTGCAAACATGATACCCCGTGGAGGTTCCTCGGGGGTAAACCAGGGAGGTCACGCTGCCAAAGGCCGGCCTGCTCACCACACAGGAACCTTATTGTTAAACGGACTCGGCCACCGACATGCGGACCCTCGGCTTAGGGATGCATACATGTCCTTGTGTGGTTTTCCACTAAGATAAACCGTTATGCGAATTAGCAGACCGTGCCTGAAGGTACACATGTTAAACACTGACTAGCTAATGTGCTCCGTCAGCTTCAGCCCATGAAGCTGAAGCACAGTCTCACACAGGGCAGTGTGGCGTGTAACATCATGCACTCCCAAACGCGTCGCTGGGGAGTACAAGCCATACATACATGTGCTGTGCATCGGCGTGAACCCTTCACAAAAAAAATGAAGACTGGGTGAGATGTCAATCCAAAACAGGTTATTGGCTTCTACTCAGATTTAAGACGTGTAGAATGGTGCTTCACAAACCAGTTCCAACCCCCCCCCCCCGTCCACATTTTTATTGAGTTAACAAATTAAAAGACTGGATTAAGAGGCTCAGGAATTCCGATGATGGACTAGAAGAGAAATTCTACCTTGTGGGGGCTGAGGCTGCACGGTCGGAGTGGCCGTTGTGTTTGGGTGGGGGGGTGTAACCTTGTGTCCCTAGGCCTAAGGAAATAGCTCTTTCCCCCCCAGCTGGAGGAGGGCCACACAGGGCGCCTGGAACGAACAGAGGACCTATGGCTTCGCGTGCGGAAGGACCACGCCCCCCGCCTGGCCCGCCTCTCCCTGGAGAGCCGCTCGCTGTGGGACGCGCTGCTGCATGGTGAGCACTGGTGCCCCCTAGCCAGCATGTCCGCTAATCACTCAGTCTTTATATGCAAATATGTCTGAAAAAGCAGTGCGTTAAAAGTAGTGAAGTGGAAAAGTTTTTGAATAGCTTTTATTTCAATATAGTGGTACCTCGGTTCTCGAAATCATTAGAATTCGAATTTTTTAAGTCGAACCAACCAGTTCAAAAAAAAATTACCTAGAACTTGATTTGAATCTCAGAAGTTGAATGGTGAACACCGACCTAAGAGAACTTCAACGCGCGGGGAAATGAGTCATGCATCACGTCTCTAAGCGGAAACAAAGGGTAACGCTTCAGTCTCAGCCTCGCATTCGCTGTGATAGCACCGTGCATGTTTACACTAACTGAATACACATATTTAGACAGTAAAAATACATTTAGACAATGATAGACAGTAACAGTAATTATTATTATATAAAAAATACATTTAAAAATAAAGATTTTATTCATTATTTTAATATTAATAATAAACCATTAATACATTTTATTATGATATTGCTGGGCCAAGCAGGGATGGAACAGAGACAAAGGCGCAGACATCAGGGTGTCGGGGAATACAGGGTTTAATTGCAGGTAAGGCAGGCAAAACGCAGACAGACAATACAATGACCGGACTGGGGAAACAAACTGAAACGCGGACAAAATACAGAGGACTAATGACAACAACCAGAAACAGCTGATCACACCGGGATTCCACACAGGGTTAACGAGGGGGCGTGGCACACGGAAGGAGCGGACTATTGGGGTAGGACATATTGTTTTTTTAACTTTACACATTGTTTGGATACATTCATTTTCTTTACAAATTACTTTTTTGATACAAGTTCTTAGATATGTTTAGTACAGTATATGCTCTTGTATTATCCTGTTCATTTTGTGTTTAAATGCTAAGAAAATCATAATTAGGTGTAATTTTTTGGGGCCGGGAACCAATTAATTGGTTTCCATTATTTCTCATGGGGAAAATTTGATCAGAACTCATACTTTTTAGGATTCGATCCGGAGTTCTGAACGGATTAAGTTCAAGTTTTGAGGTACCACTGTATTTCAAAGGTAGTGGAAACATTACACATTAAATTCCAAATCAAATCATGTCTTATGAAGTTTGTGTTGTATCTACAGGAAGCAGTCCGTTTTAACAGTAGTTTCTCGTTTTCTTCCATGTGTTTCGGGTTTTTGTTGCCATTTTAAAGCATTTGAGATCATTTTAGATGAGTATCCTATAATTTGCTGCAGTTCTTTATACATTTTCCTTTCTTCAACTTTTTAATCAAATTACATTGTTCCTCCGAACCATGTTTTTAAGGCCCATTGTACTTAGCTGTTCAGAAGGAAGTATGTGAAACATTTGCTTCCCTTCCTTAATAAATTAATGACACCTGTTTTTTCACAGAATAAATTAATTTTCTAATTAAACTCCACACAGCTGTTATTTTGAACACACCTCTCAATGAATGAGTCAATTTCTCAGAACAAGCAGCGTACATGTCATGACATTTGGGTCTTTTCTCTGTTGCACTCCTGCTTCTACAGGTAAATTAATTGCCCATGCAGAAATATCACTTCTGCTAATAGCAGTGCTGTTTTTTAACAGGGTTTATAAAGAATTTTACAGGCATAAAAGAGAGGAATTTGAATAAGCACAAAAATAACTGCAGAGAAAAAAAACTAGAATCAGTTTTTAAAATGTGATTATTATTTATTATTATTTATTATTATTATTATTATTATTATTATTATTATTATTATTATTATTCATAACCAAAAACGCAGGACTTTAACCCCCACCACACCAGGTTCTGTAACCCTCCTTCTTAAGAGCCGCCTTTGGTGTAACCAAACACACAAGCAGACCTTTACCGGAGCCGGGTTCTGCTCGCGTGTCGCACACAGCACCCCAAGCCCTTGTGCTCATGCTGGCCGCCCTCGTTTCACAGCCACTGCGGTCTGTTTGCAGTGTGTTCCTGTGGAGTGGAGCACAGAGATGCTCTGTGGTCTGTCAGTGCAGTATAGAGATGCTGGTTTGGCTAACCCCAACACTGCGATCGCCACAGGCAAGCCGAAGCTGGGCCGGGAGCTGGGCCGCGGCCAGTATGGCGTGGTTTACCTCTGCGACAGCTGGGGAGGCCACTACCCCTGTGCCCTCAAGTCCGTCGTGCCTCCGGACGACAAGCACTGGAATGACCTAGCGTTGGAATTCCACTACACCCGGTGAGCCGGTGCCTCCCTGCACACTGCAGCTCACCCACGGCGATTCCTGCTTTATACCCCACAGCAAATTAAAGGGGGGGGGGGGGCACAAAATGCCCCTTCGGTTTGTGTGCTCATTTGTGTTTGAACAGGAAATGAATGTTTTTGCTATACAAGTCAGGTGAGAGGCTGAAGGAGTGAATGTGTGTGTGTGGGGGGGGGCTGTTCGCTGGTGGGATCCTGGGTGTGTGATGAGACTTTGGTTGTTTCTCGATATGTGTACTTGACCATACTTCCATTTTATGTCATCTTCCATTGCTGAAGACTAATGGCCTGTGCTACGAAGCGGGGTTACTGGCTTACGGGGTAACTAGTCGGATTTAAGGTAGTCTGGCCAAAATGTAAGTGAATGAAATATGAAGTTCATTTAACCTGTGGTACCGTAAATCCGACAAGTTACCCCGATAAGCCAGTAACCCACTTCGTAGTACAGGCCACTGCTCCAGTACTAAGAACAGAAGTACAGAGGATGGTAAAAGTCCCCACATGTTGTTCTTGCTCTGCTACAAATTTCAAGGATGCATTGGTTACATCCTCGCCAAACTACACCAACCCCATGAGTCATTGTGCCCCAAGTTCATTCTTGGGAGGCAAATTAGCAAGACCATTCTTGCCAAGACCAGAAGTACGATCTTTGCGTTCTTGCTATTGAGAAACGCCATTTATTAAGCAAAGCATCGTGTCAGTTTGAGAACGGCCGTCATCATTTTGTCTCCCCAGGTCCCTGCCAAAGCACGAGCGGCTGGTGGACCTGCACGGCTCCATCATCGACCACTCGTACGGAGGTGGGTCCAGCGTGGCCGTGCTGCTCATCATGGAGCGTCTCCAGCGGGACCTCTACACGGGGCTCAAGGTAGCGCCAGCGGCCGGGCTTTCAGGAGGAGTGTCGCAGGGCACCGCTCCGCCTCACAGGCTATGCCATTATCACCAGCTTGTATTCTCATTGCAGTTGTTTTAATATTGTGAGGAATCTGTGATTCACTCTCCCAGCTAAGCAGAAACGTAATTTTGTAAAAGTATTTCTAAATCAGGATGGCGTGTCTGCTCAGAGATGAGCCCTGTCCCCTTGGTTCTTCTCGGTTGTGGGGTCTAATCTCACTCGGTCCCCCAACCCCCCCCCCCCCATCACTATGTCTAAAGGCTAGGTGTGCGTGTGTGCGTGCGCCCTGTGAGGGACTGGAATCCCTCTGCATTTTGTCATCTGCCAACCCCGTATTGTGTTTGTTAGCGAAGGATGAATATTACCAAGATGGCATCACAGACAAACCATTCCGTGCCCCACCAACCACGAATGACACAATGAGTGTGCAGCTTTGAAATAGGCTCTCGACATTGTAAGAAGGCTTGCTTTGTTTAACAAACAGGGATAGAAACGAATTATTTACCACCCAGTTAATTAAATAACAAACCAAAGAAAATCAAGCCGCTGGCAAGGTACCAAAAAAGCGCCCCGATGAATGCAGTGCATGTGCCTTTTAGTGCAAAATATATAGAGGAGCTTTGTGAGCAGGAACTTGCGGAAGGGCTTTGCTGGGTTCAGGCTTGACGTGTGGCCATGGTGGGCAGCATTGCTTACACTTCCAGTAAGTTGAGGGCTCACACGGGGCTCTCCAGCGGGGAGGAGGAGTAGCTGTGTGATCCCTCCTGTCTTCCTGCCTTAGGCGGGGCTCTCCTTACGTGAACGGCTGCAGATCGCACTGGACGTCGTGGAGGGGATCCGCTTCCTGCACAGCCAGGGCCTCCTGCACCGTGACATCAAGCTGAAGAATGTTCTGGTGAGTCTGACCTCTGACCTTTGACCCTGGGTGGGGGTCATCTCAGGACAGATTATGCCTCCTGCTTGTAGAGATGCTTTAAAGCTTTGCACCTTTATTCGGCTGTTTTACTCCCATCTTCCTCCTTTGTATGTAAATTAAATTTTGCGTGTGCTGCTGTTTATTAGCTGGACAAACAGAACCGTGCCAAGATCACCGACCTGGGTTTCTGCAAGCCAGAGGCCATGATGTCGGGCAGTATTGTGGGGACTCCTATTCACATGGCACCAGAGCTGTTCACAGGTTAGCCTGTCGGCTGTTGCTGTTCTGTATGGCTGCATTGCAAGCTGGATCACAAACAAGGAGTTTAATTGCCTGTCGACAATTTTTTTTTTATATGGTTTTACAGCAAAGCTTTTCCTCCCAAGTTCAGCCCTTGGCAGCTTTTACCGTTTCTTAAACTGACATTGATATGAGGATTTGTTTATCTTTCCAGGAAAGTATGACAACTCTGTAGACGTCTATGCCTTCGGGATCTTGTTCTGGTACCTGTGCACTGGCTCCATCAAGCTCCCCGAAGCCTTTGAGAAGTGTGCGAGCAAGGATCAGCTCTGGAACAACGTGAAGAAAGGTGAGCCGTTCTCTGGCGTCGGCGCCGGACCGGGCTTGATCGCGGCAGCCGCCTTCTGAGTCACGGTGCTGTAAGCTGCAGAATTTTCCACTCGCTTTGGCCTCCAGGCGAATAAAGAGCCGAGTGGTTAAATGAGGAGAACGCGCCTCTCCTGGCTCTGACAGTGACTCTGCAGGGCTGATGAAAATCCAGACTTGGCTGTTAGTGTCTCTGTAGTGACAAGATACAATTCTGTAAAACCCATGGGTGAGATTCATGATGGCACTGTCAATCATTACTCAGACCCGCCTCATATTGATTACCTTGGTTCTTATTGGCTCAAACCTGGTGATTGACATTGCATTATGTCCTCCCCCCATCTTATCTGAAAGTAATGGGTGCTGCTGTTGAGTAATACCTGGCATCTCCGGTTTACGAGGGGGTGCAGGGTAGGGTTTCGGCCAAAAGCTCGCTCATATGCCCCCCCCCCCCCCCACTTCACCATCAGGTGCCAGGCCAGAGCGCTTGGCAACCTTCGACGAGGAGTGCTGGCAGCTGATGGAGGCCTGTTGGAATGGGGACGCCTCCCAGCGACCCCTGCTGGGCATCGTGCAGCCCAGTCTGCAGAGCATCATGGTCCGCATGTGTCCCTCGAAGTCTGGCGAGAAGAGCGCCGGCCTCGATGACTCCACCTGAACCCAAACTGAGCTGAACTCTCCGGAAAGCCCCATAGACAAGAAACGGTTACAGAAGAGAATCTGCCTGGAAAGGCAAGGATGGGACTGAGGAAGCGTAACGTTCTTTTATGAAAGTTATATACACTATTTAAGAGGACCTAAGAAGTGGAAAAACCCACGACATGCACACCAATCTGTGCTTATATATATATATAGATATGTATTGCGTATTTATATATAATTCAAGCATACACTATGCTTCTATTTTAGCATGCATGCTAATGTTTGCGTTTCATAGGATTGTTACTAGACATAAAACATTGTTTTACAAATAGTAAAATTTCAAGTATTAGGAAAAGACATTAATTTTGTTGGTATTTAAAAGCTATGTTATAAATGAATTTTTTAATAAAAAGACTTTCACAAACGACTCCTGTCTGTGTGATTGTGCTTGTGCTGGTGAAAAAAATGTCGTTCTGTCTCATTACCATGCTAATGAAGGTATTGATTTTCCACTATCGCTGTTAAGGCGGAAAATGTCAGAATTCCATTCAAATGAAAATGGTTCTTTTCCCCTCCCCCCTCCTTTAATGGATGCTTTTGCAGTTCAGCAGCATCAGACTCATCCCAGCTGGCTGTGTAGGTGCCAGTGTAACCTGTGTGTAACCTGTGTGTAACCTGGCAGTGTTAGTGTTACCGTTACTAATGCGTGATTCAATAATTAAAATCATAAATTTGCACTTTGCTGATATTATGTTAGGTGATCAAGAGAGAAATTTAATTTCCGTGCTGGAAACTTGTGGATGGTTAGAGATGTTATTACATGAACGAATATGAACATGTTCTGAATGGTTTCTGGTCCCCAAAGCACTTATGAAATCAGGCAGCAAGCCAGAGATGGAGGTGAGGAAATTCCCCTTTGAGCTTTGAGCAACTCATAAATTTATAATATTGGTGTCTAAAGTCCAGCAGCATAGAAAAGATCAGGTAGATATCGGAGTTGGGCCTGCTAATCAGCGTCTTAAATGGTAAAGTATCTTGCAGTCTATTGCATATCTACGGTCAGAGTATAGACTGGGTCTTTATATATGGGTCATTCCATGCAAAGGTCATAGAAGTTTTAAGTACATGAACTTTATGTTCGTCTGTTTAAGTAAATTGTACCACACGCTGAAATGTCTGATGTGTGTGATTTTGGGTTTGGAGGGTACTCTCAGGGATATTTTCTGGATTACTATTTCAATTGCGTCACTGACAAATTGACCATGCAAGCATTTGATTTCTATACTTTTGGATTGATTCAGGCACCTCAGATCCATAATGCCAATTTTTCTGCATAACCCCCCCCCCCCACCCCAAGACATTCGTACTTCATGTCTCGTTACACACACAATGCTTCCTGCAGGTTTTTTTATTTTTTTATTTCCAGTTTGTAGAAAATCTGTATCCTCCCATGAAAGTCTGTCTCTTTGATGTCAGACCCATAACACTGATAAAATGGAAGTATTTCCAACATGTACGAGTTTAGAGTATTTGTCTATATACAAACCACAATGTCACATGGAGAGATGCATAAATTGAATCATTGATACTAAGCTTCTCTGTGTTCAGCATGTTTTTTTTTTTTAATGTTCCAGTTTGAGTCCAAACGTCACATCCGTAACGCTGGAATTATCCATATATACCAATCGGCCATAACCTTAAAACCACTGACAGGTGAAGTGAAAAACATTGATAATCTCATTATAATGACAGCTGGGTTTGACAATGTCATATGGGTGCCACTTTATAATGACAGCATTACAATGTCATATGGGTGCCACTTTATATTAGGCAAGCAAACGGTCCTTTGAAGTTGATGTGTTGGAAGCAGGAAATGGGTAAGCATAAGGGTCTGAGCGAGTCTCACAAGGGCCAAATTCTGATGGCTAGGTGACTGGGTCAGAGCACCTCCATAACAGCGGGTCTTGTGTGTTCTTGGGATGCAGTGCTAAAGCCCTCTGAAATAGACCTAATGACACCAGGAACACAATGGGAGGAAGGCAAGCTGGCGGATGCATGAGTGTGATGCTCTGGCCAAGGTTCTGCTGGGTCCTGGCATTTATGTGGATGGTACTTTGACACGTACCGCCTACTTAAACATTTTTGCAGACCGAGTTCGCCCCTTCACGATATTCCCCAGTGGTTTATGCCCTGCCACACTGCAAAAGTTATTCAGGAATGGTTTGAGGAACATGAAAAAATCATATCATGGTTTTGACTTGGCCTCCAAATTTCCCAGATTTCAATATGATTACCGGTACCTGTGGGATGGGCTGGAGTAGCAGGTCCGATCCATGGAGATCCCACCTCACAACTTAAAGGAGTTAAAGGTCTGCTGCTCTTGGTGTCAGATACCACAGGACACCTCCAGAGGTCTTGTGGAGTCCATGCCTTGATGGGTCAGCTGTTTTGGTGGCACGAAGGGGATCAACACAATATTAGGCAGGTGGTTTGAATGTTATGGCTAATTGGTGTATAAATTATTTGCTGTAATCTTTGCCTCTTCATTCTGTTTGTCGCATCTCATTGTATTTAAATCGCTTATAATTGATTTGTAATGGATGTCTTTTGAAGCGATGGAGATGCAAACTTAATTTAGTCGGTATCTTGGAGCAAGAGTAAAGATCCCTTGTAATTTTAATGGAAGGAGAAAATGGTTAAGATTTTCTGCACTACCTGCATAATTAGTCTCTGTTGAAGTGATTGTGTGTTTCCCTCGCATGGACTTACAACAACTTATGAGATTCCATCGGGGGCAGGGGAGGGGGGGTCCCTTCTCTGTAAAAATTTGTGAATGTTGCGTGATCATCCGTCATTAAAAGGGAGACTTGGCAGATTTTGCAGTGGCCTCCCTGACATGAGGACCCTGGGGGCCACCCAGCCAAGCCCCCCCCCCCACCTCCGCTAATGCATGCCATAAAATCTTGGTTAAAAACCACGCCCGTTAAATTGACCGTATACCAGTTTAATAAAAGGTGAGGTAAAACATTAAAGTGAGCCAGTGGCTCATGACAACTGGTGATATTGGAGATGGCAGAATGGACCAAGAACTGTGAGACTTGACGCCTGTGAGCTAAATAATGGCCCCACAAAAAGGGATCCTGGGGGGAGGATCTACAATCACTGGTTGATCTGAGACTGCAGAAGAGATCCGGCCTCTCTCCCGAATAAGATGTATTAACACATGCAGGCTTTGTCACTTTGACTGAGTGGATATTAACAACAGTCTTAGTAGAAGTTTTGCATTTCTGAATTCCGGACATCAGTCCTTCGCCGGTTAAGCTCATGGTGTCAGCTCAGCGGTGCAGTGATCTGCCCTGAAAACCGAGCCAATGACTGACGTTCGCAATTTGCATGACGCACGGAGGCTCATCCCAACGTACAACACCTCAATCTCAAATTCAGAATAAAAATGACATTCCTAATACTCATACAGAAACTAGAAAATAATTATTATTATTAAAACTCCTGTCTCATATCTATTATTATACTTAATAATAATCATTCTCAGTGCAATTCACTAAGAATAACGATGGACGGATGCTTATCCCAGCTATGAATATGGAGTTCTTATTCTCTGCCACTAACAGTACATAATCCAAATACATATGATGTACGCCAGTGATTATCAACTGGGGGCAGCCGCAGCCCACTAGGGGGCCTCAGCGAGGACCTGGGGGGGGCACACAATTAATTTGAAAAGCATAGAAAATACATGTTCCTTAAAATCAGACACATTAAATTGTTTAATAGAAACCAATAGTATTCCTTCCTAGTTGTAAACGGTACAACAGCTATGATTGTGATGTAACAGAATTCAAACCAATCAGAGAGTAGCGGGTTAGAGAAACTGATGGAGAGGAAAAGCAAGGAATCATCATTATTTGGTTCATTACATTGTAAAACATTGTTAACAACTTTGTTTTCGATTTTAGAGCCATTTGCCAGATTTATTTTGTTCATAAACATTGATCTTCTGTTTTGAGAGCAATGTCATCCTCCGAGGAAAACAATGTTGGTGGACAGAGTGGAGTGAAACCTTGTTTGAGTCGTGTTCAAAAGCAATTACATCGTTTGGCTGTGTAACTGAACTACATTATATTTATATTAATAATCACTGGAAATTTGTGTCATGATTGCAGAACACATACAAGAGAAACAGCATCTTAGTCTGTGTGTGGGGGGGCCAAACGTGATTTCCTGGACACAGGATGTTCTTCCATGTGACCCTTCTCCACGATCCCTCCCTTACGTTCCTCCCCAGTTGCTGTGTGATAGCAGAGGATGTGCTACAGATTCTGGAGAATGTCGAATGACTCGCGGATTCTGGGAGACGTTCACGCGCACAGACCTCACGCCTGGTTTCTGCAGCACTACAGCTGGTTTTGCCAAAAGTGTAAGTTATATGACAGGACAGACAGAGCACAGGTCAATGGTGGGGGGGACGAAAGCTCAAACCCATGTTAATGTAAATGCTGTCAGTCATTTTATTTCAAAGTGGAATATAATATTCGCTTAAAAAAAAACAGCAAAATGCAAACCCCATCCAGCCCTATGTCACATTCTTCCGTCCCTCTTGGATATGCCTTCATCCACGGGGTTATTCTCACCTTCCCATTGTCACATACAGCTGGGGGGGGGGCACTATGAGCTACTTCAGGTTTTACAAAATATAATTGAAGGGCTCCTACAGTATGCTTGGCTTATTATTTCAATTCTTCTTGTGCTTTTACTGGTTTGTTTCCTTGATTGAAAGACTCATCAAACTGTTTCACATTAACATTAGTGACACGTGCATGATTATAGGAGACTGACCAATCAGCACACAGCAAGAACTCAGTGAAAAAGTGAAATCCAGGTCTTTTAATTTAAATGGTAGCTTACAAGCCCCATCCCAGCTCATAGTGCCCCCCCCGACATGGACTAGGCAGTCACCCTATATACGGCAATGAGTCTCAATCCAGTCCTTCAGGACCAACCGACGATCCAAATACATCGGGAGGGACAAGCCTTGTGATTGTCTGCTCTTATTTTTCCTTTTGTCCCTGCAGAACAGGATCTTTCACATACTTCACGTTTACCTATCCCTAAAAGACACCCCCACTACTCCTTTTGATAATAAACCCAAAGCTCACTATTCAAACTCTGCATCATGTAGATCTATGACATAGAGACAGATGGATAGATAGATAGATGATAGATAGATAGATAGATAGATAGATAGATAGATAGATAGATAGATAGATAGATAGATAGATAGANTAGATAGATAGATAGATAGATAGATAGATAGATAGATAGATAGATAGATAGATAGATAGATAGATAGATAGAAAAAAGAAAGACTGCATGGGTGGAAACAAATCACACACAGTTGGTTTTAGTTTATACGTTTATGTCCATTTGTGAGAAATATTATGTACAGCAATAAATAATATTGGATTTTAAAGGCTCTGGAGGCATTTATGTGATTAATACTGTGGCTGCTTAAATGAATCTAGTTTTTGCTTAAGTCTAAATCCTTCAGATAGCAGGAAGAATGATGAAGATATTTCGGGGAGTTTGAGATCTTGACCTTCTGGAAATAAATGTCCACTAGGGGACCGAGACCATGTTTGGTCATTTATCATCTGGTGAAGCTTCTCTTAGTAGGTGAAAGAGATTGGGAGGAATAAAATGATAATGTAAAGATGTGATGCTACTCTCCTCCGTTCAACATTTGTACAAAGATCTTACACATAGTCAAAAACTAGAGAAATCAAGCAGACAGCTATCTCACACTTACTGGTACATCCCAGCTCAGATATCTGTCGCTCTTATCAAAAGAGATCTGTTCTTGATACATAGCTGTGCTCACCACATAAAAGGCCACGAACCTCCAATTATTCCAGATTATTCCAAAAAACTAAAAAGTGTGCTGCCATTCTTCCTGTCAATGGATCCTTCCAGTCTACAGTGTGCAGTTAAATTGAAGTTTTAATACATTTCACCGGCTGCCTTGAATTACATGATATGTGATTGGAAAGGAGCTCAGTCATGTGACCTCCCAAAGCCAGTTAAAATGTTGCATTGCTCTCCCACCCCCATTTTTTACCCATTTAGGCAACTGAATATTTCAGTAGAGAGATTTCAGGCATACAACCTTACAGTCACAAATCCATGTTGTTAGACTCCTCAGCGCCTGCCTGTGCATCAAAGCCGGAGCAGGCTGGACTTCCCAGGGCTCTGGCTCCAGCGACACGCGGCAACTGAGGAGCTGCAGCTCACTATTAAGTGTATTTTCCAGACTGTGATGAACATTTTCAGCACAGGTGGTACATAAATGTACAAAAACAGAAATACGGTATAAAGAGCTCTTTAAATTTCTGCCAAAATGCTGTATGCCTGGGTTAAATATTTTTTAAAAATCACATTAAAATGTTGGAAAAAAGAGAAGATTCAAAGCAGTAATGGAAAATCAGCTTGCAGAAATATGTACGACAAAAACATGGAGAGCCAGCATAACACGGGGGTGTTTCCTCATCCCCGCCTGGCGACGCAAGGTCTTCCACAGCAGATCCATTTACTATGCTGACAGGCTAACAGAACACCCAGCTCCACGTGACACTGTACACAGGCACTAGGTTCCATTGTTCGCTGACGTATCTCAACAGGGCCACGTTTTCCTTTCACGAAAAAAATGAATCACTTTGTTTAATGGTGTTCCTCAGGTGCAAGGCCGTAAACAGGCAAACAAGATGTGGGCTCCCGCATTTCCAACGTGGCAACGTCCGGACCCTCCTTGTGACTTCCTGTCCCAGACAGGAAGTAGGGCATGGCCAGCACCGCAGACCTCTAGGACCTGCAATGACACACCTCTCTGTGAACCTGGCATTCCAACTCATTTGGCAGCAGGGGGACGGGGGTGGGGCCTCTGCCGCTCCAGCTGCTACACAGGAGAAAAAAGGGTTGGGGGGGGGGGAGCGACCAGAGAAACAGAAAAGCAGGAAATGCATGGCCATGGCGCTAATGCTAAAATGCTAATGCTGACCGCAAGGTGCGAGAAATGGGAGAGGGCGAGTGTGTGCGGCGATACGCTCGGCCAATCCCTCCCCCCCCCCCCCCCCCCCCCCCCCCCCCCCCCCAAACTGGGGGGGTGGGAGAGTGAGGAATGTGACGTGACCCAGGACAGGAGATGAGGCTCCCGGCCTGGTGATGTGGAATTGGCGCTTTAATGGAGAAAATTAATAAATAAGAATCTATGATTTTGGAAATGGGGAGACAAAATAGAGGGAAAAAGAGAGAGTTAGTTCAGTTTCCTCTTTAAAGGAGATCCCTAATCCTGCTCCAGTCTCCCTACTGCATCTGCTGCGGTTTTTCCTACGAGCTCCTTATTTCTCAATTCAGACTGAGCTGTTGACAGATGACACAATTCATTCAGACTAAATGGAACTATTACAGAAGGTCGATCCACCCTGCTAAGCAGAATTATTTTGTTTTTGTATTGTTTTTTTTTTTGTTGCTGCTCTGGATAAATTATTTCCATTGTAACTTGATTATTTAATCCTTATGCAATACATTTAATGAAACCGAATTGTAACAGCACTTAATCACACCAAAACTTAATGGCTACATATCTGGAAAAAAAAAGGCGTATTAGGTATTGCATTTGCGTCATGCATTATGTCAACCGTTCATCCGAAGCCTGCAATTAAGAGCTTAACTGGAAAAAAACCAGGAGAGAGGATCGTCGTGACCAGGATTACGAAACTGCGCTACAAAGCAGGTGAGAGCCATCACTGCAGAGGAACAATAAACTTAAGTGGCTTGTTAACTGTAAAATTCCTTACTGTCAAACACAGTTAATATATGCAAAGAACTGTAGCCACTATTAGGAATAAATGAGCGTTTGGAAAATGCTTAGACCGTAAAAACTGACTTTCATAAGGATAGAGTAGATGTGCCCAGTCTTTCTAAAAACCCGTATACCTGATCTGAATGAAAACTAGTCTGTCTGATCATTTTACCATAGTGCATGGGTGTCAAACTGCAGTCCTGGGGGGCCGGGGGCCCTGCACAGTTGTTGGTTTACCCTCGTTTAACACACCAGATTCAACTCCTTGTGCTAATTACAACACAGCTCTTGAGCTGAATCATTTGTGGTGGAATAGGAAAGAACTAAGCTGAACAGGCCCCCCCAGGACTGGAGTCTGACACCCCTGCCATAGTGTGTTAATGGTTACCCTTACATAGTTACAATAACCTTGGTTTAGTAGTTGGCCCGGTCACTTGGTCCTCAGACATAAACCTACTACTTGCCTATGAGCTTGTGAGGGTTGGCTTCAGAGGGGGCTTAACCATAGCTGTGAGCTTCACAGCAGTGCATGGACAGGGGACAGACAGGGGACGGACAGGGGACGGACAGGGGACAGACAGGGAACAGACAGGGGACAGACAGGGGACATACAGGGGACGGACTGAGGACAGACAGGGGACAGAGAGGGGACAGACAGGGGACAGACAGGGGACGGACAGGGGACGGACTGAGGACGGACAGGGGACAGACAGGGGACAGACAGGGGACGGACAGGGGACGGACAGGGGAAAGACGCTGACAGCAGTCGCTGAGATAAAAACCACAGAACTCAGCTATGTACAAGCTAGAGAGGGTGTCCACTTACAGGGAATCTACTAACTGTTCTAGAACACTATTTCCTGATCCGGGGACCCACAGACGGTTCACATTTCTGCTCCCTCCCAACTCCCTGACAGACAGTCCTAACCCTAACCCTAACCCTACCCTGGAGCTGGGAGGGGGGCAAAAACTTGGACCGTCTGTGAGTCCCCAAGGACCAGATTAGTTAACACTGCACTGAAGTGTGGACATTAACACAGGAATTTTGTATTGTTAAAATTAAAATTACAATAAAAATAACAAGATGAAGCATTTCAGAATAACTCAACATATATTTGGGAATCTGCTGAGTTATCTGGCGCCCCCTAGTGTGCCGGGCTGGAACTCACTCGGATCCTGAGGAGTCCCCATCGACTGTCCCTGCTTTGATGCTCATGGCCACAGGAGCCAGAGAGACCCCGCCGGAAAGCTCCTGCGGGCTGCCGACGCCTCCCCCCCTGCGGCCATCGCTGGAAGAGCTCCTGGAGGAGGCGGGGGCTGGGCACGGGGTCCTGGGAGACAGCATGTCGTGGGTGATGATCAGGCTGTTCCTCTCCACAATGGGGGACAGCGGCTTCCTCTTCAGGATCCCTGCGGTCAGCAAGCACACAGGTAAAGTCTTCTGTCATTAATACACATAAATCCTTGGCATGGTTGAGGCCTATACCTCTCTGGGGGTACGCCCCCTGCAGGAACAGCTGCATGTTGCCCCGCCCATGCTCCGCCCCCCTGTCCTCAGGCCCCTCCTCCAGCAGCTGTCTGCCGGTGCGGGGGTAGGCTGGGTGGGGGTTACTCAGTGACTCCACTTCCAACCGCTCTGAGCTCCACAAGCACTCAGCGTCACTCAGCCCATGCTGATTATCTGGAGGAAAAAGAATTTTGCTCAGATTTTTTTTTGGACAGGAAGTGACATCACTCTGGAAGAAGGTCACTGGTTCAGGAAGCAAAAGCACAGGATACCTTTGATGGCTTCATGCTGAACGAGCCAGCTGGCACTGAGGACAGCCATGTTGTTCTCCCAGCATGCCTGAGCAGGATAGGGTCCCTCCCCCTCACTGTCCGAGGAGCGGGAGGAAGCGAAGGAGCCGCTCCGGTCGTCCTCCAGGGACGCCTCGCTGTCCGAGTCGGAGGCGTGACCTAAGGGCACAGGGGGAGGGGACAGTCAGGGGCGGGAGATGGCACCTCTGTGAAGGGGAAGGGTCCAGCTGCAGATGCCTGTAGAGTGGAGCTCCACCGGAAATACGTCACCTCCACAGGAAACACATGACTTCACACAGCGAATAAACCCTAACCTTAACCTTAACCCTAACCCTAACCGGAGCTCCACTTTACGTCCTTAAAGATCACGTGTTTCCTGTGGAGGTGACGTATTTCCGGTGGAGCTCCACTCTAGAGACGTCTGCAGCTAGACCCTTTTGCTGTGAAGGGGCTTCAAACCTCTGCTAAGAACTTCCTGCTTTCAGTTATGGTGACCGAAAAGGGGAGGAAGTGATATCAGAGCTTGACCAGGGCTATCAACACTCCCGCTTTCAGACTCTCGAGCAAGAAATCTTACAGCAAATCTATATTATTTATTATTATACGTCAAAAGTTTTTGGGTAGTTTGCAAACCCTACAGACTATTTACAAGGCAATAAAACTGTTACATACATGTAAATGTGTGTGCAGACTTGTCTCAAATTGAAAATCTCACCCCAGCCAGCTGACCAAAGCTGGCAAAGTTGGTAAAACACTCTGCCCTAAAATAGCAGACCTTCCCAACATGACGGGGCGGTGGGACAAAGCTGGCATACATTTAGAGAATTCTATTCACTTTTCAAAATGAAAATCAAGATTAAATCTAATAAAATTGGACCAAATGTATAATTCAGCTCTGCAGCGGATGGCATTTCATAAAGGCAGCACATAAATGGCCATAATCATCATTTTTACTTCAGCATCACTAAAATAATCAGTATGTGAATGCGAGCAGAGTGGCAGAGGAAAGCTTTGACCGTCAGCGTGGTCCTCGGGCTCGCGGAGCAGGGAGCTGCGGTCAGTCAGCGGAAGGTGGCCTTGGCGCACGTTCAGGCCGCGGTCGTCCCTGGAAACATGACGAGGGGTCAGGGGTCACCACCAGCAAGTCATTTATTCTCAGGTTAACATTCACCATACGGCCTGAAGCACACGTCTGACGAAATCCACTGGCATCACATAGAATAGCATCAGAGCTGAATAGACCCTCAGAGACTAGGAAGGAAGAAGGAACCAGAAGGAACTCAAGCAGAACAACCTTGAAACATCCAGCTGCTTGGATGGACTGGACATACATGGATTGAAATAATTCCATTGTCCAGTTTAGGTTAATCGGTGTCTCTAAATTGCCCTTTTAACCTCTAACTAAATGAATGAGCGGTCCCCATAAAGATATGCTTACCTGACATTTGTGTGTGTGTTTGTGTGTGTGAGTGTGTGTGTGTGAGTGTGTGCATGTGTATGTGTGCCTGCCCCTGTGACCCACAGGTATGCCACCCAAGATGTCACCTGCTTCCTGCCTAAACCAGGACCAGACACCAGATAAGCATGACCAGGTAGCTGAGAAGATGGATGGATGTTATGATGTAACAGGGACACTGTAAAGTAATGGTGGGTTGTGTGTGCTGGGTTTGGAAGGTCACTGGTTCAAATCCCACTGGTTCGCAGTGTGATGTCACTGCTGAGCCCTTGAGCAAAGCCCCAGTTACTCTGGAGACTCTGAACCGGCTTTTTAAAATGTACATCACTGCATGAAAACGTCTGCTAATTAAGTGTGTTGCATTTTACTGCTGTCCATCTGCACCACAAGGTCCTAGTGATGATCCATGACTTTATAATTAGCTGGCAAGCGGAAATCAGGTGTGTGCAACACAATGAAAATGTGAACTGGCTGGTGCTGCCTGATCACTGGGGCGAGACCCTACAAAGTGTTTATTATAAGAGAGAGAGGCTGGGGCAGTACCGGAAGAGGAAAGGGGCATAGCTCAGCTGGCTCTTCCCGGAGGGCACCGTGCCATTGTGGGACATCCTGGAGTCGCCAAAGGGAGGCTGGTATAGCCGGCTGTCCAGGTAGGGGGCGCTGTAGTTACAGGACTAGAACAGAAAGGTTAAAGGTCAGTCACAGAGCTCAGGAGAAACCCAGGGGCCATCGAGTGAACAAAGGACAGATCTGTCTTCAGCTGGAATTTATTTTGCGAACAATGTGAGCACAGACACACTCGGCATGTATCGCTGGGAGGACTGAGGATTAAACACCCCTATGACCCTCCCCTACTGTCACCAGCATCACACAGCAGCCAGAATCGATGGGAGAGGGGCAGCCCCCCAAGTCCAAATCTACACTGCTCCTTTAGCTGCTCTCATGCTCAGCAATGATGCTGAAACTGGCAGAATGACCACAAGTGGGCGCTATTCTGACATTCACAGTTCATCAGGTAACGTGCGCTGTCCATTGTTTTTCTGAGAAGTCGTGTGCGACACGTAGGAACTGTGCCAAAGTCGTGCACATTGCTGCACATGTAGAGATTTACTTCAGCACATCGGGATGCCAGGGTGGTTCTCTTGGGGTGCTATAGGAGGTGTGTTTGAGTTAGCCTGCGCTGCCCAGCACAAGGCCTGTCAGCAGCCCTCCCCCACGCCAGCCCCAGCTCCGACGCGTCTCACCGAGGCCAAGGACTTGGAGCTCATCATGTCTTTGTGTTTGTGCCCACAGCAGCGCATGGCCCGCCGGGCCTCCTTGTCAAAGACGATGCGGAAGAAGAAGATAAAGGGGCCCTAGAGCGGAGGGACATCAGACACAAAGAGTTGTACAGTGACACTAGAGGGTTCAAAGGTCACAAGCAGCGGTACAGTGACACTGTAGAGTTCAAATGTCACAAACAGTGGTACAGCGACACTTGTGAGCCAATAGGTCATGTGCAGTGTTACAGTCACAGTGGAGAGTTCACAGGTTACAAGCAGTGGTACAGTCATACTGGAGAGTCCAAAGGGTCACAAGCAGTGTTAGTTACACTGGAGAGTCCAAAGGGTCACAAGTAGCGGTACAGCCACACTGGAGAGTCAGAAATATTGATACAGTCACAGTGGAGAGGTTAATGGTCACAAGCAGTGGTACAGTCACACTAGAGGGCTGGGGGGGATGGATGGTCACAAGCAGTGGTATAGTCGCACTGGAGAGCCAAAAGGGTACAAACAGTGGTACAGCCACACCAGGGAGCCAAAAGGGTACAAACAGTGGTACAGTCACACCGGAGAGCCAAAAGGGTACAAACAGTGGTACAGACACACCGGAGAGCCAAAGGGTACAAACAGTGGTACAGCCACACCGGAGAGCCAAAGGGTACAAACAGTGGTACAGCCACACCGGAGAGCCAAAGGGTACAAACCGTGGTACAGTCACACCGGAGAGTCCACCATAACACCCTATTGGTACAAATATACTACACTAAATAAATCTCTGATAGAATTCACTGAGAACAATGGCTGGTCCATTCACACAATTATCTGTGCTCATTAATCTGCTAGCAAATGTAGGACTATATCACTACATGGATATATTATTCAAGCCTTTCAACAAATAAGCTTTTTTTCTTTCAGTAGATTTTGCTTTTTTCTTTCACTTAAAAGCTTTTCTTCCTTCAGTAGTTGCTACTTAATATTCAGTCATATAAACTGAAACATTAAAAACTTGGCCACAACTCCTTCATGGCAATTTCACAAGTCGTCCAGCAGATGGATGGCTATTCACATACAATCTAGTCTGCTGCACATGGGGAAAACATTTTGTTTATATGCTTGGAAACTAACTCAAACTGGAACAGTTTGTGTAGTAAATCACCAGAATGACCAGGCACTATCCATAAAGCAAACTCTTTTCTGTCCATAAATACATGAATTATCCTACATTTTTGTCTCAATTCAGATGAGATTCACATAACATTTCGGTCAAGGTCGCTGCGCTTGGAGGTGATTACCTGCACGCAGTTGAACACGGCAAACAGGTAGTGCAGGATTAGGGATTCGCTGTTTACTGACAGCAAGGCCAGCAGGCAGGTGACCGTGACAAGCAAGAGAGCGATGCATGCTGTTCGCAGCCCCAACCTGTAGGGGGCGACGTACATTAATCACAGGAGTTAGCCAGTGCCATTCAGGACAAGGCTGACCACATTACGGCTACTGGTGCACATCGGATATGCTAAGAATATTTCAATACAGTGTAACAAAAAAACAATCAACAGTTAGAAACACATTTAAGCCATATACCTGCAATACATCTCATTCATTCTGGAGCGAAAAGGAAATAATATTTCAGCACATCAGAGCCAAGAATACATGAAAGGAAACTTACAATAAGAAAATATGTGGGAAAGCAGTACACACAGAGGAAAGGGGCATAGCTCAGCTATTATACAGACAGTCTGAGGGCTCAGCCTGGCTCCTGATAACACAAGGACATCCACACTGACCGACAGGGCAGGGCACGGCCATCCAGTGCCACTGGAAAGACTGGACAACCTGCAGTTATTGCAGAATATCTTTTTTTAACTGCATAGCAGTCCCATAAAAACGCTGTATTTGCTTGCGGTGTATATTTATATCCGGATGTTACGGAAATCAGATTCAAGCTCCCTGTCACACACGTACAATACTCCTGTTAAACAGACATGTTTCTTCTTTAAAAGCCCCCCCCCCCACCAGAACATACACTGCGGAGTCTGTTTAAGAAGACTGAGGCTACTTTTTGTGTCTGTCAGCCTCTGAAAAAGTCTACCACCATACACTGGACAGTTCATTCTGGTGCCTGACAGAAACCATTGAGTGAGGTGGGGGGGGGGGGTTGCATTTTCAGTCTGCAGTGGGTGGGCACTCACACTGGGCCTTTCTTCTCCAGGCTGAGCCGGTGAATCGCGTGGGAGGCCT